TTGAGTACAGGAGCAGGAGGGGGTCTTAGCTCATTCCTCGATCCCTTAGGGAGATTTAAAAAACCACACGATTTCTCTGCTGCACTTTGCTGAACCCGCCTCCTTTTTTTGACATTAAAGAAACATGTCAAAGTCATTCTGAGCCCAAAAATAGGGGGTTGGAAATTATAAACAATGACCTTTTTCCAAGTTAAATATTTCCCTGTCTGCCCCTTGGAAATGCTCAAGAAGTTGTGATCCTGAGCATGAGCACATAACCCAAACTCCAGAGGCCTTTCCTTATCCATAATCTTTACCCACGATGTCTATATCTGTCTAAACCCAGCCTGCCCAGTCTTAACAGATCCACAGGAGAGTATTTTAACCTCCCACACTTCATTTCCTCGCTCATTTCCCTTTGCTGCTGCACTCTGCTAAGCCTCACTGTGTTCACTAATAATGGTAGGGAAATGTTACTGCCTGTATGCCCAGCCCTTTTTTCCACCTGTGCTTCCTCTAATCATCAAGCAGTATCAAGTCGGATCAAATCTAAGAGGGAAGAAACACAAAGCTTCTTTGGATTAAATTTAGGGCCTGATTCTCTAAGAATGGATTGCAGCCGCGGCGTCAACAGCTCAAAAATTGCACATAATTTCCCGATGCTATCTGCTCCTCCTCAAGGTTTAATTCACAAAGCGTAAAGTAGTAATAATATTCAGGGTGCACAAATGCCTAAAAAAGGTGTCCTTCGTGCAGTTTGCTCTTGTCTTGGGTGTGAATGTGGAGAAAAGCTTATAGCTGAGCTCTCACACTGACGGAGCATAATTTTGTCCAAGATGATGAGTTCGGAGGGCGGGGAAACTTTGTCAAGTTTATTTTGAGGCCAGCCTGGAAAAATCTAATATGATTGTCACCATTTGAAACAAAGCTTCCTCCCAGAATGGAGCAAGTATACGGGCAAAGACAAAGACAAAGCAACACTGGCATCCATGTAAAGGCTTCACACTGTCTCTACATTCGGATTAAGAGTTGAGTCAGTGACAGCCTGATTTAACCCCCGGTTATGTTAATAATAATAAGTTCAAAGTAATAGTTCCAGACCTCATATACAGATAACTTATTTTAAAGACATACAGAGGCTGATGTGTATTTCTGATCCCTGGAAAGCTGTGTGAAATCTCTTATAAATACTGCGGCGCAGTTACCACCAACTCTCAGCAGACAGTTATGTTTTCACTCTTAACTGTGTGTGCATAGTAGTTAGTGAGAATTATAGGCTTTTTGAAATTGCATAGAAAGGCGGAAATTTTTCTCTGTGTCTGCATAATGGCTCATTTAAATAGGCACAAACAGCACCGGTGCAGAAAGATGACATTTGCTCTGCAGTGCAATTTACAGTATATGCATTTAACCCTTTGTGTGTGTTTTGTGATATAGACTGTCATTTAAACTTGTTTTAACAGGTTTAGCAGACACAAAAACTGAGCAATCCTTTTCGTAAATCCGGCCATTAGTTTTGACTTTTTAGACATTTTATTTGATCAAAAGTTTTCCACTGATCCAATTAAAGTGTGGGATCATCTTGGCTTTAAAGTGATGATACATAAGTTGTATAATATATATATATAACTATATTTAGCATTACAATAACCATATTTTAGTGTGAAGCAGGTTATGATTACACAATGAAATATTGTCATTGAAAAACCTGTTGAAACAAAAGTTCTATAAATAAACTTTCCAAATGCAGTTTTAAACTAGACACATTGTCTCTGACATATAAAAAATAAACCATGTTAGCTCATTATTGTCAATGTGGACCCTGTTGTTTATGCATTCTAATTTTCTTATTTCTTTCTTGTTGGCATGTGGCTGCCCATTACAGTCCTAAAGGACCACAAAATATTCAGCAGAAGCAACCAAGAGTATCTCATTTGATGAGTCAGTTTATTCAAAATCTCTTTCTTCTTCTCTTGAGAGGACTTTTAGGGTCACTGAAGAGTAGAAATTCACTATTCATGTGGCATCTCAGTCGAATCGATGAAAAAGACAAGCCTGGAGTATAACTAGCGATATGTTTTGAAGATCAGCCCCATTTCCCCTGTGGGATTGTGTTCAGCAGAATGAAAGGAAAGCAGGACATAAAAAGCAACAAAATGAGGGATTTGAGCTTTGGGTCACACACACAACCCCATCAGAAGATCTTTATAAGAAAAATCTTTCCAGTGAAAGTTTTCTGCTACAGAACAATTTACTGAAAAGTGATGCGGTTGATGTTTCGCTTATAGCTTAGGGTCGTTTATTAAAATTGCATTTTTAAAGAAGAAAACCCAACATTTCTCTCCCTACCCATTCGAAAGTTAAAGGTAACGCACTTTGGAGAAGCCTTTTAAATGTTCTGAGCATTCCTACAGTCATCCATATGAAACATTAACAGATGTTCAGAAACAGTACAATGCCAAGAAATAGCTAAAGTTGCAGCTAATAACAGGAGAGAGTTGCAAGTTGAAAGTTAACAAAAGGAATAAACTTGATAAATGATTGATATTTCCCTTTAAAGTCAGGCCAAACAAAGATGAAAAAGCCCTCGAGAGCCTTTGAAATGGAGAACACTGTTTCACTTCAGCTCCCAACAATTAATATTGTTTGGTCGTTCTTTCTCGATGCCAAACCGCCACAGGGGGTTTCTTACAAGAATGAGGGGGAGGGAGAGCCAGACGTCACCAGGCTTTCCTTTATTAGTGAGCAATGGTGTAACGGGAGAAGCAGTTATATCATTACTGGACTGATCTGTGATAAATCAGCCATGACTCTTTAAAGTTAGTGTTCACTCAGCCCTTTCTCTTCCTGCAGTGACAGCCCTCTAATTGTGGAACATTTGTAACATTGAACAATATTTAAACATTAATTGCAATGTGATGTAAATCATCTCCCTTCCTTGCAAGTTGTGGGTTAATCTTTTTCAAAGTCACCAACAATTTCTCCCTCTAACAAGACTCTAGTTATTTAGTGACCATTTGTCCTAAATTACCCACTACATCACTAGCTCTTCCTTGTCCTGGCTAATTTATATAATTACAGACAGAAAAAACTCATTAGCATTAACAGCTTATAGACTCCTCTGTTCCTAGGTGTTCCTCAGGGTTCACTGCTTGGTCCTCTCTTATTCCTTTTCTTTGTATTCTTTCACTTTATAAAATCATCTGTCATTGAGTCTTCTCTTCTTATTCTTTGCTGATGATGTCCAGCTCTGCATCCCCTAAAAAATGAATCAACACTGCAATATATATGATCATCAAAGGTCACAAAGCCCTCATCAAAACCAACTTCTACCTAAAGATGCACTTACGACCTTGGAGTGATTCTAGACAAGATCATCTCTTTCAAACGAGAGGTTAATCTCATCATCAAAACAGCCCTATTCGCTTCAAACATAAAGCCTGTCTCCACCCACCCAACATGCAAAATGTTTAATGGCATTTCTAATGTAACTGCTCCAACCCTGCAAGAATGAAATTATATTTGAATCAGGAAACTACGATTTAAATGTAAATATTCAATTTCAACACACTGCACATTTACTGCACATTGCACAAGTTTACAGAACTCTGGACTAATAACTCTGAAGCTAACTATTCAAAAGTACACTCAGTTTACTGCACATTTCCCATATTGCACAAGTTTACTTTTATTTAAATTATATTTTATTTTATTTACCATTTTGTTTTGTACCTTTTGCACAATTTAGAATTTATTACTGTAAATATTATTTATCTTATTTTACCTCATTTTATTTTATCTATTTTACCTGATCTTATTTTACCTTATTTTGGTTGTATTGCACCGTGGGATGGAGACAAACACAATTTCGATTCCACTGTATGTCTGGCATATTTTGAAATTGACAATAAAGTTGACTTTGACTTGACTTTGACTTTGACCAGCAGTTTTTGTACCCAATACATTCATTCAACTATAGGTGCAGCCTGGAACCACTCGTTTTCTCTATTGGAAGTGGACTCAAGCAGGCACTTCTTGCCAACTGGCAAACGTAGAAGGCATTTTGTCAAGTTTTTTGCTTTTAAACGTGAACCTCTTGTAGGGCAGCCTATCACATTTTTTCCATTGAAAGGGAACCCGAAGGAATATGTCTCAACATTTCATCCACAGGAAGGGCAACCTATTTGGCAAGTTTTCCTGATTTGAAGTGATCCCTAGAGAGCTTTTCATCAAGTTCACTTCAAAGGACGGGTACCAAATTAAGCCTTTCGTAATGTTTTCTTCAATAGAAGTGCACCCTGGAGGGAACTGTTTTGCATTTCCTCTCATACCAGGCCACTTAAGAGGGATACTGATCAAGTTTTTTCTCCATTGGAGGGGCAGCCTAGGGACGTCAGTATGTTTCCTACACTGGAAAGGGTACCCTGGAGATCACTTCCATCGCATCTTTTTACACATTAGGCCACTCTAAAGGGACGTTAATGTTACTTAAATGCTCCCTGCTCCACATTTCACAGCATTTTTCCTCTCTCAAAAAGCCAGACACAAACAGGCCCTCAGAATCAATCTGACTGCCTTCCAGCAGTACACTCCTTCTGTTCCACTTACCTGCTCCTACACTCTAGGAAAAAGTCCAAGGGAGGGAGCCAATGTAGTGATTTCCAAGATTTGTCTTAGTTTAAGAAGTAGCCTAAATCAAATCTCTGCTGAGAGTGTTTGATTGAAAGTCCTTTTACTGCCATGTGCCTTAAATCATTTTCATGTTATTGGATGTTTTTTACTTTTTGTACAAAGTGTCTTTTGATACGTTAAAGAGCTCTCTTAAGTGTTTATAAGTTGTTTTCCTTCCCCCTTTTGTCTCGCTCGCTGTGATTAACTTCCCAGCTGTTTATCCAAAAACTGTAACCTCCCTTCTATCTGCTTTCTCTCTGTGTCTTACTTATCTCCCTCCTCCTCTTTCCTGCTCGGCCTTCTTCTGATAGTGAATGCTAAACGGTGCCTGTGTCTTCTCCTTTTCACAGGAGGTCAGTCAGAGAGAGACATCATGAGTGACCAAATGGACTGCAAGAACTGCAAGGAGTCCCTGTGTGGACGCAAATACATCCAGGTGGAGGAGAAGCCTCACTGCATCCCGTGCTACGACCGCATGTACGCCAACACCTGCCAGGAATGTAAAGAAATCATCGGTCACAATGCAAAGGTGAGCTCAACTTGTACAATATTTGAAAGTATTTTTAAAATATCTGTACTTTCATTAAGGGTATTTTTCTAGTATGGTTTAACATTTTAGAGGAGAAAAAGTACTTTATGCCCAACTACATTTATTTTACAGCCGCAGTTAAGTAACATTTTAAGATTTTCTATGCAAAATATGAGATTTATAAGTGAGAGCTGCATCTAATGCTTCATTTTTCCATGTATCAGTTGATCCTCTGCATGCTTTCATAGGTAATGTAAAAGTTATTTGATCAATTTAACTATTAAAACATAAAAAATGTCAATCACAGGTGCGCCGGTGGCTGAGTGGTTATGGAGCGCGTCCCATGTACACAGGCTATAGTCGTCGAAGATGGCGGCCTGGGTTCAAATCTGACCTTTGACCTCTTTACAGCATTTCCTTCCCCGCTCTCTCTGTCCCTGATTTTGGTCTCTATCCGCTGTCCTATCTCTACAATAAAGGCACAAAAGCCCCAAAACAAATATATATATTTTTGTAATTGCCACATTTCCCCATAGTCCAAGATGACTTCCTGCATTGTCTTGTTAAGATAGAACATGAACATGAAAAAAACATTAAAAAGCAGTGAACCCTCATATGGACCAAGAGATTACATATGCAATGAAGTTACATTATAAGCAAGGCCAATTAATTAATTTGTGTTTTAGCGCTCTAAGAGATCTGAATTATTCCTTTATATTCAACTCTCCAAGATTATATGCACTCAAACCTTAGCTCACTGGAAGTGTAGAGATATACCTTTATTTTGAAAAACCTGGCTACAAGAAATGATCAGTGACATATGGAGAGGGTCCGATATAGTGTCTCACTAAGTTCTGCAACCTTGGACAAAATGTGGCAGTCATGAATCAAAGATGACCCAATCTGTGCAAACAGATTCCTGCTCTGCATATATGCACTGAAACCATGTCTTAATTTATCATGTGACAGACCCATTAGAGATGAATTATTATGGGTAGTTTTACTTTGGAGAAAAATAGATGCAGAACTTAAACTCATAGAACATCGTAGTTTTGCTTCTCTTACTCCTGTCAGTGATTTGAGTATTTAATCCACCACTGAAGTAGTAAACGTCTGACTGCTTTTTAGGAAAACCAGCTGCCCAGAAGCTTTAGTAAGTAAAGATGAAAAACACATCCCCAAAGGAAACACACCCCACAGATGCCATGAGGCCTTCAGTGTTCTGTAAATTATAAACTCCATGTGAGGGATTGGCTGTAATTTATCATCCTGCTTGCTTTGGCCGTCCCTCCTCCGCACAAGACATAACAACATCCATCCCTCATACTTCCCCGTCCCTCCGCTGTAGTTGTTTCTTTCACTGTGAAAACCCCATGCCTCGAAAAATAGGTTTTTCAACCCAACATCGTTCAATGGAGCCCATTTATCAAAGCGCTTGCTTGAACTGCAGATGAACTGGAACACAAGCAGCTGTTAAAAAGAATTCACAATGTGGGTTATTCTGATTCTGAAGGAAAATATTAAAGAAAGCTTTAAGCCTCTCCTGTGTGGAGAAAAAGCAGGGTGTTGTCTTAAGTTGGAAACTTTGGGTTGCATGTCTGCAGTCATCCCAAAAAAAAAACCTACATGCTCTTGTGCAGGAAACTGAATCCCTTGGTTGATCGTGACCTCAGACGTCCAAGCAGGAGGGGGGGCAGCAAACTCCTCTGTGAGGAACAATAACATCATAATTATCAAGTGTTTTTATTACAGCCAAAGGTTAACAGCTTGAGTTTCTACATTATTCACTCTTAACAGATGACACTGATTTTTGGGTTACATTTTCTTAACATGAACAAACCCACAAGATCAAAATAAAAACACTTATATAATGACTGTTTTACCATCTTTAAACGCTCAGTGTGACTGTCTTCTCTTTCCAGGAGCTCTTCTACGAGGACAGGCATTACCACGCACATTGTTTCCGTTGTTTCCGCTGCGACCGCTCTCTGGCAGACGAGCCCTTCACCAGCCAGGAGGACGCGCTGGTGTGCAGCGACTGCTACTGCAACGAGTACTCCTCCAAGTGTGTGGCCTGTGACAAGATAGTCAAGCCAGGTAGGAACAACAATGACCGGCTGTCTCACACACGCACACAACGTTCACACACCTCCCCCGGGGGAAAAGATCTTTGAGTAATCAGTCAGACAGACACAACGTTCACACCCTGTCTTTGCACGGATAAAGAGGCTAATGAGTTTTTGTTATCTGGGGCGTGACAGCTTCGACGTGACAGAATGATTGTTTCCTCGCTCCGGTGAAAATATCTCTCAGCGGGGTGTTCTGCTTGGGGCGCTGTGTGACGACACGGGTTACAGCGGCGGTGTCGGATGACTGAAAATTACCAGGGGCCTTTTGTGGGTAGTGTGGGATTATTTCACTCATCACTTCTTTTGTTGAAATGAGCAGTCTTTCTTTTTAGTTTCTGTTCAGCTTTGGAATGCCTTTTAGAAATCTGCCGTCCTCGCCGTCGTGCAGCCAAGTTCAAGTAGAAAACACCGTCATCCCTCTGGGCAAGCATTACAGGTCTCAAAGGTCGTAAAACAAAGCCGGTGATTAAATCCTGACGTCCAGTTTCTAGGGTATATTTCTGGCTTCTAAGTTGAACCTCTGCAGTGGAGCGTGTAATGTTTATTGCAGTTTAATTTCTTTCTTCCACCCAAAAATACAAAAAATACAAAACGTATGACTAAATATTACAGCACATGTGTGGGTGTGTTTGAAACCTGTTAATCGCTTGAATGAAAATCACACTTAGGAGACATATACAAGATAGTAAAAACATGCAAAACCACCAAAACAGAAACCAGACAACTTGTGGAAAACAAAATGTAGAGAAGCAAGAGATGAAGCTGGAGACATAATATGACCAACAATATCTTATAGTAGTGATTACAGCAGGGAATACTTTTTTTTTCCCTCCACATAGACGATAACGCAGAGGAACCAGTGGCCTAGTGGTTAGTTCAAAGCAGGCAGGCCGGGTTTGAATCCGACCTGTTGCTCTTTTGCCTCATGTCATTCCCCACTCTCTCTCTCTCTCTGATTCCAGACTCTATCCACTGTCCTGTCTCTCTAATAAAGGTACAAAAGGCCGAAAAAAAAAAATCTTTAAACAAAGAAACTGCAGCGGACCTCAGTAAATAATAATTTTTCAGTCATTAAAGGCTTTATATGCAATTTTTTGATCCAGCAGATGTCGCCCTTGAGCACCAGCATGAAACCAAAACAACTCGCGCTGCATTGTTGTGTTAGCATGCTAATGCTAGCGATCTTTATTATGCTGGTATCTTCACACTGCATGTAAATTTACCTGAAATGAGCGTGATCTAGAAACACAGTTAAGCAGTGAGTACAGTATGTTATTCTTCTTTTCTCTAGTCCCTCAATTAAACAACTTTTATACACGAGGGGAGGAGTCAGCCGGCCGTCCGGGCGATGTAAACAAACTGAAGATAGGACTCTGAAACCATTGTAGACAGTCATGACTCACAGAGTTATTTTCAGAGGAGATACTTGATTTCTACATTTAAGGGTGAAAAATCACATAGAAAGCCTTTAAACAAATAAACTTCAGAGGAACTCAGTAAATAATCATTTTTTAGTCCTTAAGGTAACAGATGTATTTCTTTGCGAACTCCAAGTCTGACATGAGGGGACAAAAGGTCACACAGGAGATGGTTGAAACTAAATATAAAGCATTGTTAGAATGCATTTCAGCCGTGTTCATTACGGCCCGTCAGGTTGTTTAGATGCAATATAATCTGATGTTCTTGAATGGTTGTGGAAGAACAGGTTCAGCAGTCACACTGAATCATAGTTTTTGGTTTTCTCAACGCTCGTGTGAACGCTTTCAGATGTCATTCAAGTTTAAAGTTACACAACCACAGGGCAGAGATCATAGGAAACCCTGTGGAGGATATCTTCAGTCGGTTTTAGACCTAACCCGTTCCCTCTCCCTCTCTTTTTTTTTTCCCTGACAGGTTCAAAGTTGTTGGAGTACGGCGGCTCCACGTGGCACGAGGACTGCTTTGCGTGTCACGGCTGTGAGAAGTCGATCGGTGCCGAGGCGTTCATTCCAGACCAGAACAACTATTACTGCGTGCCATGCTACGAGGGCCGCTTTGCTCCTCAGTGCAACCACTGCAAGAAGGTAAATCAGGCCTAGTATCACAATGTTAAAGATTAAAGTCAAGATGAAACATCCAATCATGATTTCCTCCCAGTAAACAAAAAAGACTTAATACATCAAAAAACACAAAAGCTTGGTGTAAAACCATAGACTGTATAAAACATGGACGTAGTATCTGTGACATCACACATTGATTTTTGAAGAAGCATTTTGAAGCCTAACAATTGGGGTCGCCAAATTGGAAAATCCAACTAACATCAGGCCGATCATGAATCAGGCAAGGAGGTGGAGCTAAGGCGATTAAGTGATTATCTTATTGAGATGAAAACCAAATGGGCATCTGCTGGTTTTAGGAGTGAGCCTCCAGTGGACACTTAAAGAACTGCAGTTTTTTGCACCTCTCCATTGGCTTCATTTTTTTAACACCAGAGCTTACTGCTTGGGTAAAACCATTTTTTGTTTCCTGAATTCCAGGGTTATGAGTCCACAGACTCTAAGTTATTTACTTTGATGAAAGTAGTAAATCTGACAGCGCCAGGTTATGCCAAACCGTTTTGCAGTGGACAACTTCAGCAACTTCATGGACTTCATCTTTCTGTCTCGTACTGATACTGCTATCCCTTCAGTGTACGTGAATTAGTGTTTTTTTAATGCCCAGTTTTTGGCGTTCAAAGATTCTTGTGCAGTTATGTCCTGTCTTCCTATCCCGGTTGAACAGGAAATATGATGGAAGCTAAACACACAAATGTAAACAGATTTATTTTTAAATTTAGGACTTTAAACCTGTGGAGAACATTTCCAATTAATCATTCAGTTGAAAAAATGTCCATTGCAATTTCATAGAGTAGATAAAACGTAGCAAATACTGAACCATGCCTGAACCAGAGACTGTTTGGTGTTTGTTGCTGCTTGAGGAATTTTAAGAATGAATTGCTGTCGAAAGTCGCGAGCGAAACCTTTGATATCGTTTTTCATTTCTGCGTTTAGCAAAAGAATAAAGGACAATGACCATGGAGCTGAATTCTCCCCATGTCATTGTGTCACTAATAACTTTAATTAAATGTAATCAACTTTGTGACAATGATGATCAAAGTGTTTTAATGACTTCAGTGGAAGGATAAAGCAACAGAGGAAAGTTTCATCATCGGTTGAAAGACTAACTTAAATTAAACGTTATAAATAAAAGACTTCAATGATTTTTTCCCTCTTTAATTCCTGTTTGTGGTTTGTGAGCTCTGTCCCAATGTTCTGTTTGGCGTTCCACAAATATGTGTACCACAACATGTTAGGAAATACATGCCACGATGTAATTAAGTTCTTAATGATTTTGTGTTTTCATTTAGTCTTCTGAGTGATTAAAATCAAATATGTTGTTTAAACAACGTCTAAACAGAGACATCACAACAGGCACTACTTGGACCAAAGTGCTCGCCATTAGAACCAGAGCATGGTCATTTAAACAGACACGTTTTGTTTTTGTCTCCCGCAGGCTCTGACTAAAGGAGGCGTGACCTACAAGGACGAGGTGTGGCACAGAGAGTGTTTTCTCTGCACGGGCTGCAAAGCTCCTCTGGCCGGGACACCCTTCACCTCGCAGGGAGACTGTCCGTACTGCGTCAAGTGTTTCAGCAGCCTGTACGCCAAAAAGTGTGCCGGCTGCAACACGGCCATCACAGGTCAGTGGATCGTACAAAAAAACACTACGACAACATTGTTTGGTTGGTTGGTTGGTTGACACAACAGAGACAGTTCTTTCCTCCATGAGTCCTGTCTTTCTCGATTATCCACAATCAGTTAAATACAAAACCAATAATCTTCATCAATCAGGTGTAGGCAGTCACATATATTGACTTTGTTTTGCATTTATCGTCTCCTTAAAGTGTCTTCCTCTTCATAGAAAAGCCAAATTTGCCCAGTTGAATGAACAAGTGGCAGCAGAACATCTTCAGTTTGCATCAATAGTTAATACTTAGTTCGAGTAGTGAGCGGTAAACCCTGATATCAAACGATGATGTCGACAAAATAAAAATACAAGTAGTAGCGCTGAAGAACGCGCTCCCCTGGTATCTCCATGGACTCCACCCCCCAGCCTAGAGCAAAACTTTTGTGCAGGTCCGCCATTTTTATTATTCTCTCTACAGAGGAGTGATGTCTACCGGGAAAACTCAGGGGGGGGGGTCATTACATTTAAAGAGACACACACACCAAAACGGAGCATTCTGAGAGAGCTGGTTTATACAGGGTCACAAACCTCCTCTGGTGCTTGATTCATGTTATATTTTAACCAAAGCACAGCACAGATGTTTCATTTAGACCACAGGGGGACTGTTTGACATGCTGGAGAAGGGGATAATATGTCCTCTTTAATACTCCTTATTCACTTAAAAAAAAAAAACACTTCACATGCTGAAATTGAAAATGATATAAAGCTAAAACTAAGCACCAATACAAGTGCAAAAATATCTTCTTTTCATCGTCTATCTGACCTGAAAATGTTTTCAGTTTTGGCAAAGAATCCTAATAAACCACCAGAGTTAAATGAGAACCTGAATGAAGTGTTTTTGAGCTCAGCTGTAAACTAGATGCCAACAGGTTGACATAACTCCCAGTTCTTTATGCTCTCACTGCCAAAAGCTGATGTTATCTTGTATTCATTAGTGTCTTTTGTTCCATGTTGCAAGGCTGTAATTAACTCTATTTTCCACTCCTTGTAAAACATTCCTCCATTATTTGCTCACATGTTGTGTTCGTGTCTCACAGGGTTTGGAGATGGGAAGTACGTTTCGTTTGAGGATCGGCAGTGGCACCAGCCGTGCTTCAAGTGTTCCCGCTGCTCTGTGTCGCTGGTCGGCTCCGGCTTCTTCCCAGACCGCGACCAGATCCTGTGTACAGACTGCAACAGCGACGACTGACTGACGCTCAAAACAACACCCGCAACCTCGCCGAGCAAATATCCAACTTCTAAACCTTCCTCTTGCACATGAACACTGCGATGTCACTAATTCAGTCACAGCGTAAAAAGCTGATACGAAGATCAGTATTTACAACTCCATTCTTGTTATCTTTTAGCACATCACAATGTTTGTATAAATTCTGCAGAAACATCCTGTGTGTTGAACTTGTACGACTTTGTTTTCTTTATTTAATGTTTTGTACATCTGAGACTAAAGACTTTAAAGAAAAGATACACATAAACTGTTAAACCTTTTGTTCATTCATGGAGGTTTAATGCATCATTTTATACAATATTTTCATGACAGCTAGATGTGACCAACATTTGAATGTTTAAAGATATGCCTGCTACATGTATTTATACTTATGAAATACTATAACTTTGTATAAAGCTGTCCTTCACCTCAAACCCTTCTCGCTTTATCTAAACCTATTTCTTTAAAATGATTTTTTAAAACATCTTTACTGGCATCTATGCAATAAAAATGTCAAAAAACAAAAAGGTGGCTTTCTGTATACATGAATTGAAACTCGATTTTTTTTTTCCTGTATGAACTGAACAATACACAAATACTGTTCTTCAGGCATTTGTTTGTCTGTTCTGGTTGTTAACAGAGGAAATTGAATCAACACGGTTTAAATATCTGATTCCCTGCAGCAAACAGATTAATTCAGTTTATTAGACTTCGATTTAAACCGGTTTTCTCATGGAATTTACTCCAGCAAGTTTAAGAGTTTAAAACCACGCTGTTAAACTAGCATCATCACGGTCACAAAGGTCAAGCAAGCAAATAATCAGGTCAAGCTCAAATCTTCATTTATTTCGTAAATCAAAGAGATGAAAGTTATTGTTTCATTATCTGATCCTTTAATCATCTAAATCTGTCTTGACAACCTCTTTAGAATAAAAGATGGTTTTCTGTTGATGGTCCCATCGAAACGTTCCTGAACTATGACTACTACAAAAACATTTACAGTTCAGGACCTCTGTGCTGATCTGCTCTGATTGTGTTTGTACGGAGGCTCTGCCAGGCCGGTGTCCACGTCAGGAGGAGGGACGGAGAAACCAGCAGATAAAGAGACGGACAAAGAAAGTGGTTTAGTCCTGAGGTACTTTGGTCGTTATGGTCTTTAGTAACTTTACCGTTTACATGCTGTTTGACACCTAAGCAGGTCAAGAAATTAAAATATAGAAATAAAATGTTAAAAAATAAACCAACTTCACAACAAAGAAAAATAGATTTTGAGTTTCATGTTTAGACCATCATCCATGCCCTCAGTCCATCAACTTCACCTATAGTCCTTTAATCAATAGTCTACATGACTTTGGGTCTTACATTTTGTTTTTTGTTCTTTAAATTTTCTTCTATTTGTGCTTCTTGTGCTCTCAAACTTTTAGTCTTTTTCCCCATTATATTCTTTTTTCAAACACACAAACATTTTGTGTGTTTTTTAAATTAAAGATTTGTTTCGGGGCTTTTTGCCTTTATTTGATAGGACAGCAGATAGAGTAGGAAACCAGAGACATGCAGGAAAGGAGCCACAGGTCGGAATTGAACCCGTGCCGCCCACTTGGAGGAGCCTCCATACATGGGGCACGGGCACGGCCAGAGGCGCTGCTTGTCAACAGGCATGGAAGGCCACTGGGCTCCTGACGCCTCACAAACTTAAACCAAAGCTTAGGCTCTAAATGTGCAAATTTTGCAATGACAGTAGGAAACCTCCTTAAGGGGCCCCATCTGACAGCACTCACTCTCGTTGTCCTGCTAAGTGTTGCATGTATTATGACGAGAAAACCAAAGTTTGTCTATGAAAGTAAACACACACAAAAACGAGGGAATTATAGGAGTAAGAGTCGGGACACTGGAAGACAAAACGGTGACGAACGCTGGATGGAGGACCCCCCCCGCCCCCAACCCCCACCCCCATAGGTAATCTGCGACCCTGTACTGTTCTGTGTTAGCATGTTATTTATGAAGAAATATGACTCGGGAAGTTCATTTTTGACTTTTTTTGAAGATTTTTTGTCTCAACAAAAAGTGCAACCTCACATCTAAAACTCCAAAACAAACTTGTCAGTGGACTTTTATTCTAAATCATTTATTTATAGTATAAAATGTATGTGATTTTAACATGAGTTAGAAAGGCTGGGGAAAGGAACAGTGTTTAAATATATAGATAAAAAGCATGGATTTGGCCCAAACAGGTGATACTGTCAAATTGTGGGCACTCTCTTAAACTCCCGGCGCCTCGTATTCCCTCGTAAACTGAACTATGTAGCTGTCCAGAAGTGATCTACATTCCTGCTACGTCCTGCGTTTGATCATCTTTTATGAGCGAGTGTAAAAGTGGTGACTTGTTGTAACAAGCCTGTCTTTTTTAAAGCAGAGACACTGTTAAAAACCTTATCACAAGATCAACTCCAGATGAAAAATATTTAAAAAAAGGCCTCTGTGGTGTGCTGCTATGTGTTTAAGCTTTTCCCATGACTCTTCCTGAAATATTTCTGACCTTGTTTGTGGGGATAAAGGCGAACGGTCTTGTTTGGTCCCAGGAGGAGGAGGAAGGAGGAGGCAGGACGGAGGTCGAAAAGCTCCTCAGTGAATATTTAAGATTTCACGTCATCCCGGCCTCGGCCTGCTGAGGGGCCCAAAGCTCAGCTGGATCTTCTGCTGGAGGCTGTGAAAGTAATTAGAGGACATTACTCTGACTGACAGACCACAGCAGAAGAAAGGGGGCTACGCCTCGCACAAGACCCTGCAGCTTCCACAGTGTAGTTCATGCAGATATCTAGGTCTCTAAGTATTCACATTCAACCTACTGCCAGTTCAAAATCTGAAGTTACTTTGAATAATGAGAACTATGAAACCCCTGAAATCACCAGAACACATGAGCCACTCTTTGAGGTTTCTAACAAGGCAAATAAATGTTGGTTTCACATCCCTGTCTTTCATATATCGGTCCTCTTTTTGTCTTGCTGCTCTTAATTTTGACTGTTATATCTCCAACATAATAGAAAGGAAAATGTATTAAATAGGTACAATAGTCAAAAATCAAAACGGCATCATCTCCATCAGAAACAGCCTCTGTTGACTCTGTTACTTTGTTAAATCTACTCACTGTGAAGAAAACTTGTTAACAGATACATCTGTGGTTCATTATGTGGATTTTTTTTTAATATACTTTGTTGCTCTTGTTGTTGAAAGCAGTACGCAACACCAAAAGAATCCTAAAAATCTATTGTATCAGAGTCGTGGATAAAACAGCACACACGGATACCCTTCAAATTAAAAAGCAACACTACCAACTTTGTGCAAGAAACAACATTAGCGCAGGATGATTTGCAGAAATCACCGCTTTACTTTTCAGTGTAAGCCTTAAAAACAGATGTGTCATGTGTCATTTAAGTTACCAACCATATATCTCTCTGGGAGTTCCTGTGTCCTGTTCTCTGGATCGTTGTGTTGACGACCTGCTGCTGTGGACCCTCCTGACTCCAACTACTATTAATATCAGCCTTACGTCTTTTATCAATGGGGAAGGTTAGAGCTGCTCAACTTCAAAACATTTGCAGTCCTCCCTTTTTTTTTTTTCATTGTTTGATCAGTTTATTATCGGTGTCATTTGTTACTGCTAATACCTCACAGACTTTAAATAATAATAATAATAAATTAGATTTATATAGAGCTTTTCTAAATACTCAAAGACGCTTTGACAGGAAACAACAAGAAACAAAGCAAAAACTAAGAGAACAATACATAGGGAAGATGATGAGAGTCAGTAGTTGTAGGCAGTGATGAAAAGGTGAGTTTTTAGGGATTTCTTGTAGGAAGTTTTGTAGGAACTTTGACCTTTATTACGGCTGATTTAAAAAATCAGAAACATTTAAGAATCTACGTCATGCCTGTATTTAAGGCTAGTTCATGAGAGAATATAAACACAACTTCAGTGGTTTACTTGTACTCTATCTGGCCTTCGACAGGGAGTTCAAACAACATCACAAGAAATGACAAAAACACAGCAGATAGGAAAAGCTCGATTTCCAGTAAAGGGCAGCAGCGTTGAAATCAAGCTGTTTACATGCTCTGAGAATCATTTAAAGCTGTTGTTGTTTCTTTTGTTGGGTGGCCAAGAAGTTGATTGAACACATGCTGGTTATCAACATCACAACAAGATCGTTCATTGCAATCAGTGAGCTTCCCAGAATCACTGCTGCAATCCACTTCTGGACATCTTTCATGAAAGAGTCAAACTCAAGAGCATCTGGCAGAAAACCGGATTATATGTAACAATAAAACCCACAATTTCTGTCTTATCTGGATAATAGAAGCCCAAAGGACACACAGTGCAGCAGTTATATGTAACTTAATGAATCCTTTTGGCTCGTTACAGCGCTCCATTAAAGCTTCGCCTTGGTCGATTCTTTCCAGATAATTTCCCTAAAGTGACAGGAAATGAAACAAAGATTTGCTGTTAAGTGGAGAAACACACATTGGACATTCATGCCTCATTACTCACACACCCCGAAGTTAAATGTGTGGAATGTTTTCTGGTGCAAGAGTGTGAGTTTATCCAGCCAGATCGCATTACGTAGTAGGTGAGCGGTTTGAATGTGACTTGTGAGTGAGTCACGGCGGCTGACATGTAAGCTGGTCTCACTCACGGCCTGTAAAGTATCTATGTGTCGGACGGCTGAGGTCAGACGTGGGGAGGAGATGAGGAAATGATATACCGCTGGGAGAAGAATGTGCAGTATGTCTCCAAACCTGTGTTAACGCTCAGCGCACTGTCATTACCTGTGAGTCAGCAACTCAGGTGAAGATGTGAACAGGACGGAGAAACGTTGACGTGATGTAAAAGAGGGGGAAGGGATGGTGAATAAAAGTGAGAGAAAAGGATAAAAATACACATCTGTAAGTCTGTAACTCTGTGAGGCTCTCCTTCGGCAATGGTTCATGCAAATTCTCCCCGTATCCCATTTTGAAGCCCGGCCCAGTTCCAGTAGATAATCCTGGATTTGCATTAGATCTCTGCCTCTTAAAAGGAAGTTTTTCCTGCCACTGTAACTTTTGCTAAATGTTGTTAAGTGCTCTTGATGGATTAACGCTAAGTCTTTGTGACGTAACAATGAGTAAGATCCTTTACCTGCTCTTTTGTAAAGTGTCTGGAGACAACGCTTGTTATGAATTGGCGCTATTCAAATAAAGATTGATTTGATTAATTGAACGGATTTTACTTTTGAAGAATGTAGCCTAAAATTTTCACAGTAAGGCTACTTGACAAGAAAGTGGATCCACAGATTCATCAGGATTCATCCACTGGGGACAAAAAATGCCTAAAAAACAAGATTTAAGGAATTAATTGTTTAGACCTTTAGTCTTGACCTGTTTGGTGGATTCACTGACATTGCCAACCAGTTAGTGACCAAGAACCTAGCCTTACCAAACAGGCTAATTGGGTAGCCTACATGCTACCAGTCTAGTGATTAATACCCAATACTAA